CCCCCCCCCCCCCCCCCCCCCCCGTGATCACATATGGACCCATAATTTTAATGTCGGTTTATGTACTCCCTCCATTTCTTTGCCTTTTTCTATTTTTGTTGCCCATTTAATAAAATAGTATAGCCATGTCAGCTCTTATTTTTTACTCCGTAGAACTTTTGATATACTTCCTCTATCTGGGTTTAGTTGTCCACTTGTTTTCATTTGTCCAAAATTAATTATCCATTTTCCATATTCAATAAAGAGATTATGATGAATTGTCTAAGATAGGTATGAGACATTGTGGACATGAATGAGTGACCAATGCTTATTTGGCATTTTAAACTCATTTCTTAAAAATGAGATTTCTTAGGAAGTAGGCAACCAAATCTGGTTAGAGAGAGTAGTTTTGAAATATATAAATTTATTATTTAATTTTACAATAGTTTTCAAATGAATTAGATTGATCATAATTTTAGTCAAACATTGTAAATCAAAATGGGTCAAGTTAAAAATTAAAAAAAAGGGGGGGAGTATAAGAGTTTTTTCTTTCTGATATTGCCAGGTATCAGGAAATACTTACAGACCCTAGCTATGCTGGCCAATTTGTCTTGATGACCAATCCCCACATTGGAAATACCGGTGTCAATTTTGGTTTGTATTGTGTTCTCACATTTAAATTTCTTGTTTAGACTTCAAGATTTTAACCTTTATAAATCAGAGTTCATTTCTAAACAGACGATGAAGAATCCAGAGAGTGCTTTCTGGCTGGTTTAGTGATTAGAAGTACGAGTTTAAGGTGTGATATGATCTACTTTTCAAAAACATAACATTTAGGCCCTGTTCTTTTGGGTTGGATGTTGGAAATCCAAAGTTGGATGTTGGAAGGAACTTGAAGAAGTTGGAAAAAATTGGAAGGAGTTGGAAAATGTTGGAAGAATTTAAGTGTTAAAAAGTCACTCAATTAAATGATCATTCAAATAAATATGTAAAAAAAATTAATTTTGGATAAAAAAATCATCATTATCTGTGTTTGAAGTGATATGTTATAAATTTGGATATATAATGTTATTTTATGCTAATTATTTAATAATACCTTTTAAGTCGCTGTTGGAAGAAACTGGAAAGAGTTGGAAGAAACTGGAAGGAGTTGAAAGTTGGAAGTTAATTTTTCCAATCCAAAAGAACAGGGCCTTACTTGTGTAATTGGATACCATTGTTGTTGCATTCAAACCCTTTCTACTGAATTTTGTCAGTACTTCTAATTGGAGATGCACAGAAACACTCAACGACTACTTGGCTGCTAGGAATATAATGGGAATTTGTAAGTTGACTTTACTATTCATGCTCACATTCATTGACATAATAACTTATCATTCACAAAGTGAATATTTGAAATAAAAAAACCACCTGATTCAGATGATGTTGACACTCGTGCAATCACAAGGAGGCTGAGGGAAGATGGAAGCCTTATTGGTGTGCTGACCACAGAGAAGCATAAAACTGATGCAGAACTTCTAGAAATGTCCCGCACATGGGACATTGTTGGTAGGTGTTTCCCGTTGATTGTGCATGATTAGATGTTGCAGTTGCACAACGGATTTAAGATCTGTACTGTTCAATCAAATGTAATGTAATATGTGCATTGCAATCATAGAAGAAGAGGATTGGGAGGGGCCGAGGGGGGTGTGTGTTCAAGTGGTTGGAGCACCAACTTATCTCCTTCCTCACCTAGAATCAATGCATCCCCCCTACCCCCCTCCCTCCACACCCACACACACACTCCAAAATCCATTGAATTGATTCTAAGCAATAAAAATAAGTATAATAGTAACAATAATGCCTCATCAACATCCATATGTTTTGTTTAATTTTTACATGAAGGGTGAGTTTGGCTATTTTATTAGCTAGTAGTTAGAGGTTAGTGGTTAGGGGTATTAACACAACCAGAGTAATTTACTTTAGCCCACCATTAGATGCTGGTACATATGTTAATGTCTTAAACGTTCAAGCAGTGGTCTGGCTTTCAAACTTTTCAAATTACAAGCAGTGCTCTGTCACTGTATCTTACATTGCATTGTGGCTTTTCAAATATTACCTTTGTGGGTGTAGCATTACCCGTTTGACCATTTCTTACAATTAATGCAGGAGTGGATTTGATTAGTGGCGTCTCCTGTGATGCCCCCTACGAATGGGTTGATAAAACCCCCTCGTCATGGGATTTTAATATTAATGGAAGGAACAAAGAAACTCTCAATGTCGGTACAGTGTATTAGGTTGTATTTCTAACATTTTCAGGCTGTTAGTAGCAAACATCTTCTTACTAATTTGTTTAATCAATGAAGGTGGTTGCATATGATTTTGGCATCAAGCAAAATATACTCAGGAGGTTAGCTTCCTATGGCTGTAAAATCATGGTTGTTCCTTCAACATGGCCTGCATCTGAAACACTTAAGATGAAACCAGATGGGGTCCTATTCAGCAATGGCCCAGGGGACCCATCTGCAGTTCCTTATGCTGTTGAAATTGTGAAGGACATCATTGGGAAGGTTCCTGTGTTTGGCATTTGTATGGGCCATCAGTTGCTTGGTCAAGCCTTGGGTGGTAAAACCTTCAAAATGAAATTTGGTCACCATGGTGGAAATCATCCCGTCCGTAACCTTCGGAATGGCACTGTTGAGATTAGTGCCCAGGTATATTAATTAAGAACCTCTTTGGGATAGCTTATGGTATGAATGTTCTAAATATATTTTATCCCAAATGCTTTCTCTCTCATTTAAGCACTTGAAGTTTTTTTTAATAAAAATAACCAGTTCTTTTCTTAAATAAGCCTTACAAGTGTTTTTTCCTGTTGAAAGCACATATAGTACTCCTATATTTTTACATATTTTCTGCCAATCTCTTCTTTTTTTCCCAATTAAAAGCACTTTTCTCTCTCTAAAAAGCAATTCTCCATTGAAAACAAGTTATTCCAGTTATTTTGCTACAATCTTTTTAACTACCCAGGTCCAGAGTATGTTTTTCTTAGTCTTTGTATATTGTGCCAGGGTAGGATTCCATATTAGGAGTACTTTATAAATTGCACTACGATATTTTCTTAGTGTCCTTACATGGAAAAAAACAGAATCACAATTATGCTGTTGATACGGAGTCGCTTCCTGAAGGCGTGGAGGTTACTCATGTGAATTTGAACGATGGAAGCTGTGCGGGTCTTGCCTTTTCCCAGAAAAAGTTGATGGCACTTCAATACCATCCCGAGGCATCACCCGGCCCTCACGATTCAGATAATGGTACACACTATCTTCTTCCCCCTAACAATTGAATTATTTGTATTGGGTGGTTCCTGGTCGGGTCTATAGTCAGCGTAGAACACGAAACATAACCCCCATCTTTCAAGACCATAAATTCGCGGGCACATACCACTCCTTAAGTTCTCATTAACAAATGGTTTTGGATGACAGTGTTTGGAGAGTTTGTTCAACTAATGAAGAACGAGAAACGGAGGGACAGTTAGCAGCTGCTCCCAAGCTAGGGAAGAAGATATCAATGTAGCCCAGTCCCACTTTGGATTGTTTGTATTCTTTTTCCTTCCAGTTTCTCATGATGCTTTCCCTTTTAGTTTTTGTTCCAGTTCGGCTATACACACACACACACA